GCTGGCGGAAGGACGGGCTGGTGCTAGAGGGGAGCCTCGTTTGGCCATGGTGGAGATGAAAGGGAAGGCCGTAAGCGGACAAGCCGGGCGGTCAAGCTTTGCAGACATCGATCATCGACGCACATCATCCATCACACGGCGCTGCTGTGTGGGCGCAAGGTCCGGGTCCTGGGGGAGAGTGCACGGTGGACGAGAGTTACTGGGCGGCCTTCGCAAGACGTGCATCCGGGCTGCAGGTGGCCTTTGGCGCTGTGGGGGTCGCGCAGGGGACTGGGCCGGGGGTGTTTTGGCGTCAAATCAAGAGAGTTTAGTCTCTCTCTGCGACTTCTGGAGCCCACATATCATCGCGCGAGGCCCCGGGCGCCGCTTCTCCTACATTCTGGGACGATTGCCGTCTTTGCGTGCGGTTGGACTGAACGCTGTTTGAACGGCACGAGAGCAAGGCGGATAGGATAGGGACGTCATCTCCCTGCCGCTGCCCGCCTGCATCTGGACCCTCGCCATCCACCCCTCGGCCGCTGCAAACCTCACTCGCGTGTCGTCGGTGCCGTTCCGACGCAACTTGACTTTTCTTCCCCAGTCACTCTTCTTACGTTGTGTATATGGCTCTGTCACAATTGCAACATTTCTACCACACCCCGCTCCTGCTGCCCACCCTACACCTGCACTCGTGCAGTACGCTTGAAGGCTCGTATAACTGTCCGAGCCCCCTCCAGCGTCCGTAGCGACAAGCCCCAGCACCTCGCCGTATTGCCGTATTGGCGACTTTCACCCTCACCAACGCTCGGTCGTTTGTCAGCCAATCGGAGCACAGCAGCCCCCAATCACCATGCCGATGGTCGCTGAACAGCCACGGCAACTGTCAATTTCCTTCGATGAGCGAACCCTCTCCGACCGACTTCGGCACCGCGATTCACGCCCGCTCGACCACCGCTTTGCTATTGAAGAGGAGGATGAGAGCACTGGCACCGCAAGTGAGCCCGCCGAGCCTCTCACACCCACCAGCCATACCAGCGAGGGCACGCCCTTCTCACATCCTTTCCGTGACGATGAGTCCGTAGACGACGTCTTCGCAACCCCGCGCCCTGTCACGAGCGATATGCCCAGCAAGTCACTGTTGCAAGAGGCGCCGCAAGATAGTCGGAGCCAACAAGATGTCCAGCCGCCTCAACAGGTTGAGCGCCTGTCACCACCGGAGAAGCGCGGTCTGGGAAAGCGCGTAGGCTCACTGATCCGCGGCAAATTGCACAGAGGACACTCGAGTAAGGATGGAGCCAGCCAGTCGGATACTTCCAACATTACGACGCCGAACAGATCGCCCAAAGCAAAAGCTGAGACCACCACATACATCGTCAAGACTGGTGTAGATGGGCCCGCTGAGGTAGCAACTCCGGCAGTCGACATTCCCAAGCAAAGTAGAAGACTGAGCTCTTTCTCCCTCACCCGACGCTCCGACAAATCCTCCCGTGCAAACTCCCCACCCTTGTCTGGATCACCTATGAGCAGGCCATCGACGGACAGACGACCAGCACACGGCAACAAGCCCGCTTCTTCCACTGGTCTGGCAAGCATGAGCCGGCCCCGGCCTGGTATCACTTGGGCAGGTAGTGGAAACGTCGTCTCTACTAAGAAAGTCGGCTTTTCACGCCGACGGTCGGCAAGCACAGAGCAGGTTCCGCGCATCGATGAGGGTGCAGAGAAGCCTACCGCTGGTATGTTGAGTACCTTCTCCAAGCCAGCTGTCCAGGGTGTGGGCATGAAGGCACGGCGGCTTAGTGTGAACCTACCAGACGACTTCATCATCGACTGCTGTGAGCTAGACAAAGAGTTCAAGAGTTCGAGTCTGATGCCTGGCAAGAGAGGGAAGATTCTAGGTAAAGGTGCAACATCCGAAGTTCGAATAATGGCGCGAAGAGGGGGCATCACACGGGAAGAAGACCTAGTAGCTGTCAAGGAGTTTAGAGAACGCGACAAGGACGAGACCGAGGAGGACTACGTGTTGAAGATCAAGTCCGAGTACAGCATTGCGAAGAGTCTGCACCATCCGAACATTGTCGAAACAGTACGTTTATGTACGAACCGCGGCCGCTGGAACCACGTTATGGAATTTTGTACGTATGGAGAGATCTACTCGTTGGTAGAGCGGAAGTTGTTTGCTGGTGGCGCGGAAGGGTTCTACAGTCGGGATGATCGGTTGTGCTTCTTCAAGCAATTACTGCGCGGCGTGAGCTACTTGCATAGCCATGGCATTGCTCATCGAGACATCAAGTTGGAAAACTTGCTCCTTAGCAAAGATGGTCATCTCAAGATCTCGGACTTTGGCGTAGCGGAAGTGTTCACTGGCGAGCATCCTGGTCTTCGCGCGTCTGGTGGCGAATGTGGAAAGAACATGGGCGACATCCGGTTATCCGAGCCTGGAATCTGCGGCAGTCTTCCCTACATTGCTCCGGAAGTTCTTGCAAAGGACCACAGCTACGATCCACGGCCGCTGGATATCTGGTCAACCGCCATCGTCTACCTCACTATGACCTTTGGTGGTTGCCCATGGCAGGCTGCGAAGCCCGAGTTCGAGTACTACGCCAGATTTAAGAAGGGTTGGGATTCATGGCTGGAACGCCATCCAGACGGTGACATTTTTGATGGTGTCGATGGCCACCCCAAGTGCGGCAAGCTGTTCAGCCTCATCGAGCCCCCGTCCATCAAACGCCTCATGCTAAAGATGCTTCATCCGATACCCTCGAAACGCGTAACCATCAGCGAGGTTTTGAAAACGAGCTGCATCAAGAACATTGGCTGCTGCTGTCCGGAGACATACGACGACCCTAAAATCATGTTCGACGCTTCCAAGTCGTCCAGTGCTAGGACCGCCGCCCCGAAGAAGTATCTGCATCATCACATACCACCCAAGCCAGAGAACAAGGTTGGGAAGGCATTCACACATCGGTTCGACATGGGCGAACGGTAATTACGACTGTATATTTTGACGACCATTGTTTTTACGATCACTGCATTACGGCGCTTGAGGTCGAGCATAGCGGGTCAAAAGGCGGTTTTTGTCCCGTTCCCAATCAGGAGGCATCATTGTATTTTGTTTTACTAGCACGGCAGTTTCATCAGCATTGTGCGAATGCCACCTCAAACGACACATATACCACATCGACATCTTGTCTCGTCCCACCTTCCCTTTCTGTCTCTCGCTACTTTCCCTGTCCAACACACGTGTATACGCGTCCAACGCGATTGGCAGCCCTGCAGAAAGTGCAAGCGCGGCAATCGCCTTAGCACGCGGAGATCACCACGCAGTCGCTCCACTTCGTCTCGGAGGAATTATGATTGCGCAACTTGCAAGCTAATAAATAGCTTACGCTGATCTTCCGCTGTTATCGGAAAACTGTATCTGTCTGACGTATCTCCAGAATTTCGTCATTTTCGACGTCGCTGATATGTGTTATCGAATCCCGCTCTTTCGATGCATGCCGACGGCAGCAGGCAGGTTTGTAATGACCCGCTTGTCCGACGTGGCGCCGAGATACTTGGTCCGCTAGGAATCATGGTCCACAGGCTTGGCGATGAAGGAATGTAAGCGCGAAAATGAGCTGGTTCTGCGTTTGCGAGCTGGAGTGTGGTATGGAGGATTCCGGGTACTGCGCCCGCTATGTTGCGTATGCGCGATACTGCAGGTCATCAAAAACGTGGAGAGAAGGGTCAAAGCGTGGCGTGAACCAGTCCAACACGAACTCTAACACAAAACGAGGCAACCATCTCAACAAACACGTGGAGAGCATGATACGCTCACAACATGCGATCGAGCTTGAATAAGACGAAGCATTGGCGCAGTGTGCTAGCAAGCGGCGCTGGGCTGTTTCCATACATGCTTCTCGAATGCGGGGCATGCGTGAAGTCATCGCACAGCACCCTGTCAAGCAACCGCCGAGTGCCTTGTAAGCCGCTGATGAAGTAGTACCGAGATAATGTCGTAGCACCGTCAGCACATTGGTTTGACTAAGGGATAGGCGATAGACAGGTCTGATGCTGATTGCGACATTTCGGCTTTTGAACTCATGTGGGAATAGCGGGGCAACGCCTCGCTGTAGGTGTGTTGTTTTGCGCAGCTCAGCTTGGTACTGTCACACGACTTTGGGCTGAGTTGCGAGTGTGGGAGAGGTGGAGCAGGTGATTTGTTTTTGAAGATTTTGATAAGGCTGAAATGCGGAGCATGGCTGCATGGGAATTGGAAATAAGCATGTCTTGTCGTGATCTTGCCGACTTTCCGCACCCTCTTACACAAGATTGCAAACTGAACTAGACGCGTTCCCTTCGCATCACACTTGTAGCCAAGCTTGATTGGTACTCTCAAATGTCTAAATGATAAGAGCCTCATCCATCAGGCTGAATCGCCAACATGCAAAACATCACAACTCAACGCAGACGTTCCAACCTAATCAGCAAACCAACTCATTCCTCACCTACTACCTTCATCCAATCCTCAACTCCCTACCCAGCAACCCACACAGAACCCCTTCTTAAGACGCTTCCGCTCCCCGTGACCTTTCACCGATATCCACCTCCACACTTCCCCACATACAGCGCTGCAATGCACACCCACCCCTGTCTCGTCACTCTCCCCAAAAACGCGGTGTGATGAACTTATGCCGCATCGCATCGCAGACAGACGGTGTTTTCTGCCTGTTCTCATGCGTTAAGATTTATGCTTAGCACGGCTTATCATGCATAAGACGACGCAAGCCGAATGCTTAGCCTGTGTCGTGTGTGAGGGGAGAGATGAGACGTGTGGTGTGTGAGAGGCGTGGGGGTGCGTGAAGGGTCCATCGGTGACGGAGTGTAGAGTCGGGTGAACATGTACTAGAGGAGAAGGGGAGGGGTGTTGCATGGATTATTTTGTAGATGCCGATTGATAATTCCGGCATGGGAAACTTATATTGAGTTGATGGGGAGACTGTTTTACTCTCTACATGCGGTATTTGATTATGAATACTTGTATACCGATTGACTTGCGAAATCTATCCCATTCTATGCGTCGCATTCTCTCTTCCCTCGGGAAACTCTCCAACGACGGTGTCCACCACAGCCATGCGGCTATAACATGCTCACCACATCTCCCAAACCCCCTCCGGCAACACCGTCCTCATAATCCTCCAATGGCTCACTGCACCATCCTCATGAAACTTCTCCAGCTCGCCCACATCCGCATTGCCCATTACCCTACCTCCACTCTCCTTGCTCACGAAATCGTAGTTCACTTCCAACTTCTCCTGAGGCTGCAAGAAGTTCCTCCTCGCAATACTACCCAAGTAATCCTGTTGAACAGTATCGCGGAAGTTGATAGCCGCCTTGCCCAATCCGTGGTCATTTTTGACGCAGAAAATGACCATGTTGATGAAGTCAGCTTCACCTTCCTTGTGTTCTGCTTGAGGCGGAGAATCGCGGAAGAGGCGGCAGGCGGGGAAGATGGCATGAATGGTATTCAAGACCAGTCTTGTTGAGCCCAGTGTAAGATCTCCGGCGTAGTTGATTGCGACAAAACCTTCTGGTTTCAACAGGTCGTAGAGGCCTTGCATGAACTCTGTGGTGAAGAGGTACACGGGTTCTGCGCCGCCGGTGAAGACATCGTGGATGATGTAGTCGAAACTTCCGGGTGCTGAGACGGACTTTTGTGCTACGTAGGTGGTTGCGTCGTCGATGGCGGCTGTGTGGTTGGGGTCTAGCGCGAAGTACTTCGTTGCGTAGTGATGGACTACGGGGTCGAGTTCGACGATCGTCGTGTTGATACCATGCGCGATCATGGCATTTGGTGCAGTGCCGATTCCGAGACCAATTACCAACGCGGATTTCTCGCTGTCGTCTACGACGGGCAGGGTATCGACTGGTGGTTCCATGAGGCGAACGGCTTCGAGAAGGACGAATACGGCGAATATGGATTCGCGTTGGCGTTGGCCTTTAGCATAGGCTTGGGGTGTTACAAGCCACTCGCCGCCAAGGAGGGAGTGGTCGCATCGAAGAAGACGGAAGGCATTGTCGGCGTGGTTCTCGATGACAGACACATAACCAGTGACGGACTCATGACGAGCGAGAAGTGTGTAGTTTTGCGTAGTTTGCAGGGTGGTGTTTGCCAATTGCAGACCGTGAGTCGAAGGATGATGCGGGTTCGTCCAGAGCGTGTGGAGGATTGCTGGAAACGCGAGAAGAATGACACGTGATGGGCTGAAGAATGCAGATGCCGACGCAAGAAGCATCTGCATACCCACGCGTGTGAAGTAGACGGATGTACCGATGAAGCCTGGGATGAGAGCGCTGCTGATCTTAGCAACCGTCGATACGGTGAAGTAGGATGCAGTAGGAATGGCGATTTCCTTCAATGGTGAGGGATTGATTCCGGTAACGTCGATGCACTCCAGTAGATCGGCGGCGGCGAAAACTGATAAGAACAGTAGGGGGAAGTAGGTAAGAGACTCGATAAGCAGAGGTCCGTATTCTACCCCAATCTTTCCGCTGTATGGGAATAGTAGGAATTGGATGACGGGTGTCCAGTACGCGACTACAGCAATGTACTGTGCCATATTCGCAGATACATAGCTCTTCAATGCCCGTCGCGTTAAGAGCGCTGCAACAGCAGTGATAGTCATCGTCCTTTGATGGTGCAGCGATGCTGGGATGGATCCGTAGATAGGGGATAGGTTCAGTTGTGAGACTGGCGATGCGAAACCTGCAACAAGCAGGAGTGCTGCTGCTCTACCAACATTCAGAAGAATAGTGGATGCTGGAGCATTTTGCGCCTGGGATTCCGCCTCTTTCGCTGCCTTTGGCTTCTTTGGTGTCTTTTGTTTCGGTGACATGGTGAAGGATTCCCGTTCTATCTCTTTCTACGAACCCAGAAACAAGTGCTCTCGAATAAGTCGCTGTGATATTTTTTCGCGACAAAGAAAGGTAGCGAAATGTGTGAAGCGTGGAAAAGACCAGATATCGCGTAAACGCTCCAAGCAATCCCAAGCTCTCCAGGCACTTTATACGGACCGTATATCCGCAATAGTGTATTCGACCTGCGAACAACGATACAGAGCCGCAAGAAAAGTGCAAAAGAAGGGTATAAGGCAGGAAATGGAAGGGAAGAGACGTTGAAATTAAAAACCAAGAAGGCCAGCTGTTCCTGGCTGAATGGGATGATGCACGGGTGAAACGGGCGATCATTAAGGTGGAGTTCGTTTCGACTGGGCGCGTTTCGCACTAGAGTGTGGCGCCCAGCAGTGTGGCGTCATTACCAAGCATTGCGATGGACGATGCGCCATCCTGTGCCATCACTTCTACCATAGCGACTGCAGTGAGAGGGTTTGAGACATCGAAATCCTCTTAGCATGCCATACATGACCGGATCACCCAGGATGGCGCCAGGTCTCGCTCTACGACCAGCCAACGCGCCGGATGCAGCCAAGGACCCCGCGAACCCCAATGGCCATGTCAACGGCGACGCATCAGCCTCTACAATTCAAGATGTGGAAATGGACGATGAGATAGATGAGTCTCTACTCCGCGACCAACTCCACCAGCAACAGAACGAACGCGCGCAACGACTCCAGGCAAAGAACCGGCGCAAGCGCTACCTCGAAGTGCATCCCGAGTACTTCTCCGACTCGTCCCTCGAACTCGCCGATCCTCTCCTTTACGACCGCCTCATACGTCGCTTCCAAACCGCATCCGAGCGTGAAGCCGAAGGGCGTAAGAAGGGCTTTTCAGGTCAGATGGCTACCGATCTGTGGCGCGCCGAAGCCAAGAAGGACGCGCTTTCGCAACCCGACCCGAATTCGCTCTTCACATATAACCGCGGACCGCAGGGCCAGATAATGGAAGAGGAAAAGGACGACGTGCCTATGACGAAGGAAGAAGGGAGAGCGTGGTGGGTCGACGAGATGACGCAGCGCTTCCTGAGAGGCGGAGATGATGATTTTGAGTATGACAAGCTGGTCGACAAAAATCCCAAGTACGATGACCCTGAGGCGGAACGAGATTTGGAGGACGCGTATTTCGAGAGCATGGAGAGCGACTTCGATTCAGATGGGGAGGGGAAGGAGAAGGTGTTGATGGGTGAGACGGGCATACAGGACTATTGAGCATACACGAACGGTGCACGAGCAGTCAGGAAAGGAAAAGTATCGTCGCTTTAGACACCTGCGGTCGCAGGCGAGCGGGTACGTCGTTGTACACTCTATTCATCTCAAGTACGAGGCTAACACCATCCAGACTACAGGAAATACTTGAACGTAATCGCCCGATCTCCAAGCGCACCCAGCTCCTCGGGAGTATACCCGTTATGTGCGCCCTCGGCTACTTGTCGTTCCCTCTTTGCGTTGATGCGCTTGTAGTTGAACACCAAGAACAGCAACGCTAGGATACCCGCTACGATGAACCCGAGTTCAAGAGCATGGCCGAGAAGATAACGCGGCGCATCTTCCGCGCGATAGAAGTTGGAAGCCATGGCTAGCGAATGTCAGCAACAAGGCCGTGGCACATGAGGAATGAATATCTTACCACCCGCTAAATTACCCACGGCAATCTGGATAGCTTGCCCAGTAGCTCTCTTTGTACTCCCAGCGAGGTTGTTACTCAGCCTGCACCACGTCAGTATATATCCCACATGGACTTCGTACAGCCAGAACGTACCAAGTGATGTTTCCCGGAAATGCTGGATACAGCGCACACGCCGCGATGAAGACACCCGCATATACAAGCCCCGGCACGCTGCCACCCGCGATGCACATGATAAAGCCGACCGCCATGATGCACAGGCACACCAAGATGAACGGATACCGCTTTCCCACCCTATCGCTGAACCACGCGACAACGACAGCCAAGACGGAGGCGGTGATATAGATGGGTACGGTGAGGAGTTGGGCCGTCGAAGAGCTATATCCGAGTGCGCGGATGATGGATGGGAGGAACAGCGATATGCCGTACAGCGGACATACGATACCTGTTTATGTTAGCTTGACGCAACAAGAAGGATGAAGGATGGCACATACCCCAATACACCAAAACATTCGTCCAGATTTGCCAATCGAGGAACGCCGCTTTGACAAACTTCCACTGGAAGCTATCATCCTGCGCAACCCTAATACCACCATCCGCTTCTTCTTTGTAGTTCTGATACTTCAAGCGGTATACCACAAAAGCTCGTTCTTCTTCCGTGAGGAACGTAGCGGTTTCTGGGAAGTCGTAGAGCGTGAAGTATGCAATTACCGCCACGATGACGGTCAATATTCCTTCTAGGATGAAGATCCAACGCCAACCCGCGAGGTTTCCTACGCCGTCCATATGTGCGATGCCGAAGGCGAGAAGACCAGAGAAAGCGCCCGCGACGGACGCAGCAGAGAAGAACAGGGCTTGGCGGAATTGCGCTTCGTGTCGCGCGTACCACATTGTGATGTAGTATGCTACTCCTGGGAAGAGACTATTCAGACTATATGTTAGCCTGACGCGCTTAACTGGTCGTAGGGTATGCCGTTCCAGTCAGAATATGGGATTTAGAAAACACGTACCCAGCCTCTGTAACACCTAAAAAGATTCTTGCAATCAACAATCCTTCATAACTCTGCACTATGCCCATGAGTGTCATGACGATGCCCCATGCTACCATGATGGTTGGGAGCCAGATGGATGGCCGAAGCTTCTTCAAGAGGAGGTTAGACGGCACTTCGAAGAAAGCGTAGGTGAAGAAGAAGACTGTTAGACACCTATTTCTATTGTTAGACTATCATATAAACCTAGAAGAACGATGGATCTGTGAAAGGCATACCAATTGTACTGCGCACCCGTCATGTTGAGATCTTCCGTCAACCCTTCGATCTTCGCGTTGCCAATATTTCCTCTATCCAAGAAGGAGAGTAGATACAGTAGCGCTAACATGGGAATGAGGCGCAGGTCCATCTTTCGCAAGATTTTCTTCTCGTCGAGATGCGCAAAAGATGCCATTGTTACTCCTGGACTTGTAGCCAACGCATCGATGCGCGCCCGCTCTTCTGCTTTATTCTTCCCATGGCCAAATGATGTGATGGAGGCTTTGCGTGCGGCGTGGATAGATGTGCTATCTGGGGAATCGCTGGCGTGGGACAGCCGATGTATGGCGGGCTTTTCGTCCATGGCGAAGGTCAAGATGCCGGTATGGAAGACGGGGTGAGTAGGCTTGTGGGGGAAGGAGAGAGATGTGAGCAACACCGTGCAATGAACCACAGAAGATCTCAGACAACCAAGAGCTAAGAAGACCAGTCCCTCGCAACATAAAAGTCCGGGGACCGTCCCATACTACCTCACAAAAGCCACGAGGCGCTGATCCCCGCCGTCGCGCGAGCGCGGTCACTGCATGCCTGTCCAGCCGAACAACCATCGTCTCCACCCACATGGAGCGCCCGGTTCCCGCGAATATCCAACGCCCATTTATCTTTTACTCCGCGGGTACATATCCCGACATGACACGCTCTTACTCGGTCATTGAATAAAGTCCGCCATTGACGCACGCCCAGCCCCTCCCCACCCCTCTTGTCTGCCTCCCGCACCACTCATCATGCGTGACGGAAGCCTTCGACGTGCGTCAAGACTTTTGCCGTCCAGTCTTGTGCGAGAAAGAAGATTTGCTTGTGGAGGCAGGTGGATCTGGGGAAAGCTGGGGTAGACGCGGAGGTGATGGACGGTAGTTTTTGCTTTGTTGGGCGTTGAGTGGGTGGAGAATGAGGATGGCGGGTTGCTGGATTGGGTAAGAGCCGAGAGGAGGCGGAATGGGTTCCGCTTGCTGACTTCGTAAGTAGACGATGCCATGACACTTGAATCTTTACAGATGCATTGATTTAGGGTATGTACATCTTCTATATAATTACAGAGAGCCAAAGATGGAAACATTGGGTAAACGAAAGAGCATTAGGGGTATTGTGCTGAAATCGCAAAACAGAAGGTAAAGTAGGGGAAGTCAAGTCTTCATGAGATATGCGCAATCGACTCCGTCGGCAAGCACACAGAGTTGTACAGCAACCCAGACCTCCAATGAATTATGACAGGAAATCTATTACATGGTGTCGATCATACAAGGGAATGAAATAGGGGAATTCCAATCTTCCCATCGTAGCTGCAGTTGACAAAAGTGATTCGACAATCGTTTGTAGCTCGCATCGTACGCGTAAGTTTAGAGGGTTTGGTACAATCTCTTCCTTCATAAGATGCTGATCGGAATTAGGCTTCGTGCAATTCAAGGCCAGTGATTTGCTCAGGCCAAAGCGGTGTCGATACTTCGTCAGTAAGTCATCCTCAGAGGAGAAGTTTCGGCAAGTGTCATGAATTAAGGCCAGGTCAGCAGTATTGGGGTTCCCAGCCAGGATCGGGATCGCCGGGCCCGGGACAATCTTTGCACTGCTCATGGTAACACTCCGTGCAGTGTGTACTGTGTCCAACCTGGTATCTTGCGCCATCCTTGCATTGACAACAAATCCATTCATCAACTAGATTTGGATTGTTTGGTCCCGGTCCTGCCATAGTTGGAAGCACGTAAATGCGATTGCTTGGTAGCCGCTGGCTAGGGGGTATGTTTTGATACATGCTAGCATGTATAGTATAGAAGAATACATGGCTTGCGAACAATGGGGACAATGTAAGGAGGTACGATGAGCATTTATATACAGGGCTACGACTGGCCGTAGATTGAGTCCGACGAGGTCGGTGACTGCTGTTTCTGACGAGTAGCTCTGATTCTCCGTCGTGACTGTGCGCGGTGACTGTAGGCTTTGAGGAATGTGCTCATCCGAAAAGCAGAGGAGGGACGATGGGACGATGAGAGCAACGACCATGGTACAAAATCGCCATGACTCGCCTGCTATTAGGGACATAAAGACATGTACAGACACACGATACATATATAAAAGGCTATCGTGATCTGAGGTAAAAGGAATTTGATTGCCTATCGATGCTACAAGAAAGTCAAAGCTGCCAGCCACCAACACCGTACGTCAAGAGCAAGGACCGGAAAGCGAACAAGGTGAGGACATGTAGTGTAACGTAGAGATACCGGTAACGACAGTGATAACGAGCATGAGCTCAAGGAAACAGCTAGTAACAACAGGTGCGAAGAAGGGGCAAGAACGGGAAGTGAATGTTACAAGACATGAGGCAATAAGAGAGTCCGAAATTACACGAAACTGATGAGAAAAAAATCAAGCCTCCGTGACGTGAAAACAACGGGACTGGGGAATAGAAGCGAGACAGGAATGACAAGAGTGAGCTAAGGCAGCATACCGCCATCGCTAAAAACTCTATTTAGCCGCACCACATACAGGGCAGACCTCGTCGTGCCAGTCCGGATTATCAGCGCCGCAAGCAGTGCATGTCCACATGTCTGTAAAGGTGTCATTCATGGGTCCATGAATGACCGAGGATGCGTAGTGGAGAAATCCGGACACACCATGAGGAGAAGACGCGTTCGTGTGTGCCGTCTGAGATTGAAGATCTGAGAGTGTCGTTGTTGCCGGAATAGGTGCATCGTATAACTCGTCTCCACCGTCTCGGTACACAGAGATATGGTCGCTGGCCAATTCGAAGGTATCTCCACACATAGTTTGTGGTATATTGCCGGTTTTTGACTGGTTCATACTTGCTCTAGATTGTTCGTTCGGTTCTGCTTGAACTTGTTGAGATGGTTGGTATACGATGTCCTTGATGTCGAATAAGACTTCTTGAAGGAGCAGTTGTATATGGTGTAAGACTGATTTTGGGATAGCTTTTGATGAGTGGTAGCGCTGAGGAGTATTGCTGACTGTTTCTGTGAGTGTGGATTGTAATGCAGCTTGAGACTGAGTGTGCTTGTGGTAGTAGAGTAAACCGTGTCGCAATAAGTAGTATATATGCAACTCAACAGAATATGAAGCTTGAAACGACTCGACAAGAGCCATTTGCCTCGTACATTACCTGTGATACTACTCTTGACCGCGAGTTTCAAGGGGCGCGTACTAGACCAGAGGTGCCCTTCATTCTCCACTCAGTCCCTCCAACTAATTTTCGTCGCACCAGGGATGAGTGTCCAATGCCTACATCGTGAGAAAGACCGCTTCACTGCGTACACCGTAGTGCTATTGTCTAAGCCCACGAAGGGACGTCCGATGCCGAAGAGTCATTGTGGTACTCCAACGAACGGGCATCGTGAGGTTCAGGTGACGTTCCCGAATTAGGTGAAAGGCAGGGAGCAGAAGAGCGGCCAGCCCTATGGAAGAAGATCATCGTACGGCGGAGCATGGTGCCGCATCTTGCCCATGTTGGTATCTTGAATCCTTCCCGCTCGCACCATGCAAAGCAGCTATGTCGGGCGTCGTTGCGATGCGGGTATGTAGAAGCATCGCGCCATTGGCGATAAGCGAGCACTAGATGCATCGATATGTTGGAAATATTGCCTGTTCAGGGTATAGACCTGGCAATAGAATCCTAGTCAGTCGTCGAAGTCTGCCGCGGACGCATGGAAAGCGTGCCCTTCGCGATACTACACACGTCATTAGCAACGCAGCGCTTCACATCGCCAATTGACTTGACATCGTTCCGGCCAAAAGACCAAAGCACAACAGTCTAGGATACTAGCATAGCCACCGTCCTCATAAGCGATCTCATGTAGCGCGCGTAGAGGGCGGTAGTTTCGTCGTGACGAATCTCCCAAGATCGTGGACGCCTGCGCAGTAAGGCTGCCCGGTCGGCTCCGTCGACAGGCAGGATATGCAGTGCAGTAGGCGATGTTGGCCTCAGAAAGGGCTCGAAAGGGCCTCCATACGCCCGGTCTGCGCACCGTTTGCCTTGTCGTGTATTGCCGCTCTAGGGCAGTGGAAGCGACGGAGGTCGCGCGTAGCGCAATGTTGCGCATAGGTGCAGGTGACCCAGAAGGACCTCATTGGCACCGACGGCGACTATGAGCGGCGTGTTGGATGTTAGCAGTAGAACGCTGCGATGAAAAGGCGTGATGTTAACGCGCAACTCACCCACCACCAAGGGCTCCTGCCGTGCCTGCGACCCCAAGCTCGCGGTTGCCGTATACCCGATCGACCCACCCATCCAGGAAGCTCGCAGACGGCAAGCACGGCACCAACCCAAGACATTGTGCTTTGCTTGATCATTTGGCTTTTGATAAGGATTTGTGATCCGCGCTCGCGTTTAAGCTTAATTATGAGGTTAATGCGACGTTGTTGTGGTGGGTTGTGAGTGTTGGTGTAGGATAGCAGCCAAGACGGGTAACGTGACCTGTCTTGGCATATGTACACCGGCTGTGGAGTACACTAACGGCGATGCTGGATGGTGCATTTAGCTTGAAAGATGAGTAGTCATACGCTTTGCTACCTGCTTTGTCAAATTAGCGATAATTCATGTCGTGTGAGGATATCGTTGCATCAAGTCACGGACGAAGGCAGCATTCTGATCAGTTTCGCAAGCAAGCTCGAGACCAAGATTTGAATGGCAGTGAAGTTGAAGAAACCAATATTTATTTTCAGAGAATATCGTGCCGTTCTTAGTGTTAGGTGAGGTCACCACCAACACCTTCTGCGGCGCATACACAGCAATGGCATCCAGTAAACCAAGCTAACGATTATAGTCGCTAATTGAAATCTAGATCAACCATGCAACGAAGGTTCGGTAGAACCAGCTGCCACCCTTGCCCTCAGTGGCTCGCTTCTCTGCGGCATGAGCGAGGAAAGCCTCCTCTTCGCGGTCGATCTCGGCCTTGCCACTGTAGAAGTCGGCTTCGTGAGGCTTGACCATCTTGGACTTCATGATGATCTTGTAACCGAAGATGCAAATCAGGTAGACCGGAATTCCCTGGGATGTCAATTAGCATGTTATTTTCATAGGAACGGTTCGCGTGACTTACGAGGTATCCAGTAACAAAGTTCTTGTAGTCGAAATCGCCGTATGTCTTCGGGCTCTTAGTGAAGACATTGAAGTTCTTCGTCAACGCAATGAGAATGCAGAAGAACAGCGCAATGTAGGATCCAGTAAGACCGAATGGAGCAGTGTACGCCATCATGTCCTTGGTAATGCCTTGAGCGCGACGCGCGCGAACAAACCAGATGTGCGAAACCAGAAGCGAGATCCAAGACAACAGTCCGAAAATGGTGGTGAGGTTGACGAAGTAGCCGAAGACCACCTTCGCATCATCCGCGGCGTTCATGAAGGCAGTGCAGCAGAAAAGCGCGGAAATGGCCAAAGCAGGTACGGGCACACCACGCTTGTCGGTCCAGAGGAAGATCTTGGGAGCATGGCCTTCGACAGCAAGACCGTAGATTGTACGGGAGGCGATGTAAAGATCCGAGTTCGAAGCACTGAATGTGAAGAGCAAGATGCAAGCGTTGACAATAGTGGGTAGAGCGGGAATCTTCGCAAGCTTGATAGCGACAACGAAGGGCGAAGCAGAGGCACCGGTGGTGGCCTTGTTGGCGAATGCTAGCTCCTCGGAATCGTAAGGAACGATCATGCCCAAGAAGAACACCGACAAGCAGTAGAAGAACAAGATCCGGTAGAAGGTAAGCTTGATGGCACGAGGGATGGTCTTGCGCGGGTTCTGAGCCTCACCAACGGTTACACCGATGAGTTCAGTACCAAGGTAGGCGAAGACGGCGTTGACCAAGGAGCTCCAGAATCCGTAGAATTTACCAGCAGAGCCTGTAGTGATGTAAGGCTTGAACGCACCAGGATCCTCGTAGTACTTGAAGCCAGTTGCGCCACCAGGCCCGGCACCGACGGCAAGGAGGAAGGAGAGGAAGATGACACCGACCTTTTCGTTGATTAGTTCCGTTCTTGCATCAAATAGCGCAGAATACTTACAATCGTGATAACTTTGATCGAACTAAGCCAAAACTCAAGTTCACCGAAGAACTTGATACCGAAGTAATTGATGCAAATGATGGCGACTAGGAAGATGGCAATCCAGACTCCCGGATTGACTTCTTCTCTAGATTTCCATTCCGAAAGGATCAAAGCAGTAGCAGTAAGCTGGTTTGGCGTTGTGATGATGTACTTGCACCAATAAGTCCAACCAAGAGCGAAACCGAGAGCAGGGTCGCAGAAACGGGTAGCGTAGCCAGCAAAACCAGAAGCGTGAGGAATCCAAGCGGCCATTTCGCCGAGAGCAGTCATCACGACGTAGACGATGAGACCGACGGAAGTGTAAGCGATGAGAATTGAACCAGGGCTGTTATTGTTAGTTGAGATCAAACGTCGCCAAATCCGCACTACTTACCCAGATTGTGCCAGAGCTTTACCAGTACCGATGATGAGACCAGTTCCAATGGCTCCTCCGATGGCAATCATAGTAATGTGACGCGACTTCAGACCGCGGTGCAGATGCGCATGGTCGGAGTGGATAGCAACGCCATTGCTGTCGACAGCGGAGACTTCTCCAGTCTCGTGCTGGTACTCAGGCTTGGTGCCATACTCAGGATCAGAAGCGTGAGGACTTGCGCCGTCCGAGGAACTCGACTTGCGGTTCCAGATGGCCATTTTGAATGAAGTGTGGTGTGTACAGTTAGGTAGACTAGTACTTTATGGCGCGTGTTAAGAGAGCCGCACACGGGTGAGTGTAAGCGGTAGTCGCGGGAAGCAAGCCCGAGAACGTGAAGCAACTCGAACCCAGTAGAATCGAGGAAAAGCAACTGTATCGACGGCGGGTACGTCAAATGCTGGTGAGGCAGCGGAAAGCCTTGAGCGGCTGAAGCAGCAGGGTACACCGGTTGTTATACGACCGAGGCTGCGGGGAGGGCGAGATAGTGGTCCCACGGAACGGTGCTGATAACGAGCTACCCGTTGGAAGGCTTGTCGCGGCGGGCGAAGTAACCCAAGACGGCCAAGCAAAGAGGACCGCAGTGAAAGAATGGTGTGGAACGGGCACAGCCAAATCCAACCAATATTGACGACTTGTGCCTTCTAGAGCTTCTTGACCGCAGCGCCAATCGCCCGGTCCAGCGAGCCATGCTGGCGCGTCTGTCGTCTCCGCGTATATCTCCTTCTTGATGCAGTTGGACTGGTGGGACGGACCCTGCTCTGTGTGTCTTGGCGGTGGCCATGGCATGCTGAGCCAAGTTTCTTGCCTATCCTTAATTCGCTCCTAGCATGATAAGGTGATATTTGACGTTTGTGGGAACCGATAAAAAGCGAATTGCCACCCGCGGCTGCTTGCCCTACGATTCATGACGGGATTCCGCCTTGTTATTTAGGCCGAGGCGTCTGCCTGACGAAGATGCGTCTTGTACAAGGCTGTATTGCGAGAGTCGCACCACGAGGCAGCTGAGTTGATTGCTGCGTGAGGACCTGTTCAGCCGCGGCGGTTTTGCCCCCGCATTAGGCGGCGCGTGCACGGGCCGGCACCTCGTTCGGGTGGCAGGAGTTGACGCGCCTGACGGTGCTGTCCCTTCCCCGACACAGCTAGGCCATCATCATCGCCGCACAAAGGCCTACTGCTGATTGCCGTTCTTACGACATCCGCGTTTAATTCGCATTACATATCGCGTGCTCCGCTGCTCCACACCAAGAACGAAAATACTAAACCACTATCCACATCCGATACGCTTCGGACCGATCGACATCCCCATAGCGATAACCACTATCAAAACCGGAGCACCCAGTTCTGCTGTTGTGCGATATAATCACTAACGAAATGGCCATCCCGGGCTCTCTAGTTCTGTTAGCGGATGCAGCCATTATCAGACCTGGAAAACCCTGGCGCTAAGCACCGTGTTTCTGGAAGACCCCAAGATGATGACCCAACGCCTGCATTGGCGATCGCGAGGGCCACTCGATGCTCGTTATCTACTTGGCCAACACCCAAAGGATTCGTTGGACCGCTCTGGCCGAATAATCCGCCGCCCTCCATGTTTGCCGGCGACCTTAGGCCATATCCAAGCACTTGGTATTGTTGCCAGCATCGGATTAGTCGTGATGCGCGAAATATATGGAAAGCTGCTGGGGTGCCTTGCAAAGGCAGACATGTAACTTCGCAAACTGCTGAGAACGCCGCGCATTCGATCGTGCAAAGAGACTTGCACTTTTGGTCAGGCAGTACATGTTTCAGCCTTGGACCTCAGTACCTTTGCGCAAGCTTCTGCTATGTAGCAGTGGCACGGTAAGTGTGGTCATGCGCTCGGATCTTCTTCGTTCAATTATGACATACGATCAAGCCAGTTTCGCTTCCGGCATCTCGCGCCTGCAACTCAGTTCTCGTATCCTAGTCTCCTTCCATTCATCTTCCATCTCCTCAGGTATGCCATCAACGACGCGAACATCAAGACAGCAAACACAGTCCCTACGGCGGCTGTAATGTATAATGCTATTTCCGAATTGGACGTTTCTGGTGTTTCTGGTACATCGGGATCACTGGAGCAAAATGTACTGGATTTCGTCGTTGATGTGCGCTGTTCTGTGTTTGGAAGACGCCAAGGTGGTGGCATCGGCGCAATAACGGTGATGAGGACAGTATCCGTAATAGTAACAATGCCTGCCATTCTCCCGCGCTTTACGAAAGAGAAGAGATGTAGGGAAGCTTGAGGGCTATGAAAAGAACGATACCGGCCAGGTGAGAAGAGATGCAAGGTAGTTTCCAAGGACGCCGTTCGTACACTTACAACGTGGAGCTACCAAACGGAAACCATGAAGCTTATCATCGCTCACAACACACTCTTATGGATGTTAAGCATGTTACTACACAGAGCTGAACCATGGATGTTTCTTCGAAGCCCTCGCGGTGCGGATACGGTTGAGCAAGCCAGACTGCGAAGTCGAAGCCATTTCCTCATCCTCTTTCACATCCGGCAGGCTTGTCGACTCGTTGGCACCGCGTTGTTGGCCGGCGAACGAGCGTGATTCGTTTGATCCGAACTGAGTTCGGACACAGGACGTAGTGCACCATGCTCCGAAGCTGATCGTACTGAATCCTTCTCAGACATCGGATTGCTTCCTTGACTACCCACTGCAGCCAGATCGTCGCCTGCTAGCTCATGCGTATTCTCGCGACTGTAGTGTTGGTAATAGTCCTTCTTTTCGTTGGACTTGTCGGAATGCGCTGGAGGTATCACGGGCGCATCGCTTTTTTGAGCTGCTTATCTTCTCCCACGAATGACAAGCCATACTATCAAGGCAATAACAATGCTACCAGCCACTGAAACTCCTGCACCACGCCCGCCTGTCGCTGTTTGTATCCGCACTTCCAGCAGAGGTTTGAGACAAGCCTGGCAGTTCCATCGAAGGCTGTATTGTAGCGAGCATCGAGCATGTGTGAGAAAAACCGGACTAGACGGATCTACTGCAATCCATATTAATACAAAAGCTGAAAATTGCAACATCCTAACCAAACGTAACTTCTAGGGGAAAGCAGAAGCGCACACGTGTACTTCTTTCCTCAATGAGCTATAAAATTGCGTTATGCTGTAAATAAACGGATATCTGTTTATGATAGCACTAACAGCTACGGGTTATTACCGCCATCTCCTCTTACCTTTCCGCATCTCAACATTACAACAAACATCGATATCCACCTCCATCGCTATGGGTAAACCAAGCCTCACCAACCCCGCCTATACAGCGCGCTACAACGAAATCGCAGACCTCTTCGACGCCGGCAAGCATTATCCAGCCATCAACAAAGCCAAAGACCTCATCGTGGACAAAGGCAGACCCATGTACCACGAAATGCTCTCCTGGGTCATAATCGCCCTTTCTCTGGACCACCTGGACGTCATTAAGATCTGTCTACAGCGGGCTGATTTCCTCTAGAAGAGGTAAGCCCCGGATGTACATGATGCATGCGAGACACATACTGACTTCGAACGCCCCACCTCTTTAGGCTCCGACAAAAGATGCGAAGGGGCAAGAATGTCGAGTTCGATGTAGCCATGGACAAGACACGCGAGAATCTCGACACGGTGTTTGAGGGTTGGTGGGCGGAGATCTCGCGGCGCTGCCAATATTACGATATTCGCTATTGGGATGTCGTGCAAGTTGTCGTCAGAACGACCTGACCAGGCGCAACTTAGGGTGACGTGTTTGAAGTGTGGTGGATGGGGCTGAGGATGCGCTGCAAAGGTGCCGTTCCTGGTGATCACTTCGAAATACCCACCCCGGGATGGGACCAGCGGCAGAGAAATTGGATCCGTGTCTGAGGCTGCGGAGGCATACTCATTGTGGTCATGAGAGGGTTACTTCCTGTCGCTCGTTGTGCTGCTGGGAAAGAAAAAGACGGCTTGTTCTTCGGGCGCGCTCATGTTCCGTGTCATGGCGTATATGCATTGTACGTATTTTCTTCCACATTAGCTCATTTCAGCCAATCAAGCTAACCTTGAGGTCGGAAGGATTAAACAGACTCAAGATAGAAAACTCTGACACGTTTATATGAGCGCTGAACACGAAAAGAGTGATCTCAAACACGCCTAAACACAGGTGGCTTGTGGAGTTTGATTGATTACCACATTTCAACTACATAAGTTCGACCGTTATTTCGAACATAAACACCAACACCAAGCAGCACGTGCACGACTAGCCGCCTGAGAAACCAAAACACCAAGCAAAAGCGGAGCAGGTATCCTGACGCAAAAAAAGAACAAAAGCCTAATGATATGCAAGAAAGTGCGCCAATCGCACCAGCTTTGTCGCAACGGGTATTTCCGCGGTGGATGTACCCAGCCCCGGGGTCCTGACTCCATAACTCCGCCCGCTCGCTACAGATGTAGCGTAGTATGGTCGGGAAGATGGTATTGCACAGCACGCCATCCAAATGTCCATCCATATATACCTGCTTTACTCCTTTTGTCCCTCATTGAGTACGAGCTCAACAACCACCTGACTTCTCTCATGTTGCGGATGTTGTAAGCTCAGCTTGACTGTCCTGTTATGGCTTGAACCTCCGCTGAGCCCGTCGTCGAGGCACTTGACATCGCGTCCAGCAATGACTTGCCGCAGACGGCCGTTCTGCGCATTTCTGATTTCGACAAAGTCGGGGTCGAACAAGAGAACGTAAGGGCCGTACATAGCGGCAGACTTGGCTTTGCCGACAAATTCCATGATGACGGACCGCGAGATGTCGCCGTTCTTGTTGATGTATACGGCGCACTCTTCGTAGCAGAGCAGGAACTCTTGGTCCGAGAGGCGGAACATGCCTAATGGGTCCTGGTTTTGTAGACGTGAAGCGATCGTGGCGACATGTGATTGCTTTAGATCCGGTACGGACCATGGTTGCTTCTTGTCGAGGGTGAGTACTTCAAAGCCCTTTGCAGTGGAGATTGCCAGCGATGAGTGGAAGAGATTGATCGTGTAGCACTCTGCGGGGATGTAAAACTCATCGTATTCGCGGAAGAATTCTGTGCGGCCAGACTTCCATATCCTGGACTTCTTCTCCGATGATTTTTGGTAGACAGGCTCAAGCACCTTGAAGGTGGATGAGATACCATCGCGCTTCTTGTAGAACACTAGCGTTCTGTCTTTCATTACGCCAGTGGCGAAGAAGCCAATGTCGCGTGCACCCGATAGCTTTTGAGGTGCTCGTCGTGTTGAGTCGTTCGAAGGGGCTACGCCACTGACTGGGCATACGGCATCGAGATGGTACGCAATCAGTGCCTTGTCGGAGATGAGCAGCATCAAGCTGAACTGTTCGAGAACGGCAATTTGCGTCACACGTGGTACTTGGATTGCCTGCGACTGTTAGCGCCGTTATCACACGAGTATGGACTCATTGCATACCTTAGACCAGCCTCTAGGATTATCAAACTCCGAAACGTAAACTCCGATGTCTGTACCGACAGCTACCATGTGCTTACCGTAGGGCTGGCTGAAGGCCGTCGCACAGTTGACCCGTGCGCGGCAGATAGGGACAGGCCGCCCAACATTGACGAAGAGCTTCTCCACTTCGTCGACTGCGCGGTCCAATGGCGTCCCCTTGATCGTGATAGCCTTTTGCGAAGGCATCGCGCTATCATATGCGAAAGCTGCGTCAGCCATAACTCTTAGCTTGAATGGTTCGGCATTTTGAGCAAAGAGAGCCGCGGCGTGTCGCGTCTTCGCAATGATGAGCTTGTCGCACCACTCCGCACGATTTGTTGCTGATGGCGCATATAGCGTGTAGGTCTCCTTGCCCAAGTGCTTTACGCGGAAGGGGTACAAAATCTTCTCATCCTTCGAAGCATCATTCGAGGTGGTGTTGACCATAGTCTTGCCGGAATTGCTCGTGTTAGTCGACCCGAGCGAGTTTGAGGTGCTTGTGTGTGATAGACCGCCAGGTACAGGGCTATTGTTCAATCTTGTAGCGGCCCCAGAACCGACTCGACCAGAAACGGTAGTGACGGTAGAGATACCCTTCATGGTCGAGCGCACAACGGGGTCGTCGTCTTCGCTCTCGAGAACAAGAAGATCCATGGGAATTGGCAATCTTGACACATCATACTTCTCAGACTTGGTAACGCCGTCTGCTTCTCGGAAAGAGACTGCCTTGGCAAGTACAAGGTAATGATCGAAGAGCAATGCGTGGGTTTCGAGCCAGTTGAAACGACTGCCTCCCATCCTTTGCAAGTCGCCTCGGAAGATGAGTTCTCTGCCCAGGTGATCCAGGTTGAGCTCCACTCGCTGCATACCCGGCCGCAGGATAAGCTTGGCTTGCAAGTCGGTGAGACTCACTTTCCGACCCATTTCAGCGACACGGCTGTCGCACTCCAATGTCACAGCTTTGATCTCTTCTTTCGCAACCTGGAGATTTCGCTTCTCCTCGTTGTCCACAGTTGAGTACTTGATCACCGTGTCTATGAGAAGACCATAACGTTGCAGTCTGTCGATAGGGCCCTTGAGATAGGTATCCCAACCAAGCTTTTCCGACAGCTTGTGCTTTTGAGCATCGTCCAGGAAGGTGCGGAACAGTATGTTTCGGTCAGCTTCCTGTCGAACAAGGAAGGATGCATACGGGAAAGCCGCGGCGTACTCGATGTAGGCCTGCTTCGCTTTTCGGATCCATTCACGGAAAATATCACTGAAGCCTACAATCCACGGACCTTGCTCTTGCTGCCTATACTTTATCTGTGGAAGGAGATGGTCTTCGTTCGCTTTCCGTACTGCGTCTACCTTGCTGAACACGTCGCGGATGAATCTGTCGACCTTCTTAGGAGGTATGACTGGAGGCTGGGCTGATTGAAGTCGGTCGCGGTAGAGATGCCGTAATACGTCAAGTCGGTTCATGTACTTGTCTTCTCCCTGGACGATCTCGTGCAGAATGTTTTGACGTTCAATCTCCTTCTTGTTTGCTCCTTCGATGTCTTCTTTCTTCAGTTTATAGAAGGTGGCCCAGTCTTCTGATCGGGGTGCGGCGGATGGGGCATGCAAGTCGATCTTCTTGAGTGTGCGTTGACAATGATGTGAGTAGCAGCGACCCGGGCTTGCATGTGTATGCAACATGGGAGCATAGCATCCAGCGCCCGTAAGCTGGAAGATTACACCAGTCATACTCGCAGTCGAGAACCTCAGCCACTCTTCCTCATGCACAAGTGTCCCTGCTTTGTACATCTCAGCCACTACCCGACTACTAAGTGTCTCGGCATCCGCAATGTTCATAGTAGGAACTTTGTGGGTGAATAGCGCGATAAGACCTTCTTGGATCGGGCTCTCCTTAAGGTCATTCTCGCCTTCAGTCATGCTCTTCAGCCAGGAAATGATGGAGCTAAGTGCCCAAGGCTCAGTGCATTTCTTGAAGTCGATGCTAGAAAGCTTTGCAGGATTGAAGCGCTTGCCAGCTGGAATCGTGGGTAAGTCAATAGCGACGGCCTCTGCACTGCCAGGGGTGAGGGTATTGCCGTCGCTATCCATGGCACCACCATAGAAGGTGTTCCGGTTGCCGGGAGGAGGTCGAGGCCTGTGGCCCTGTTCAGCGTCTGTCTTGGATCGGGGCAAGGGAATGGCATCTCTGGCATTGCTGTGCTGGAGTAGAGAGGTTGAGCGAGGCACAGGGGCCCCGGTGGGAGAGATCATGTGCATAGCGTTTGCATCCACCGGGTATGAACGCTGCGCAGCCGGAGCGTTACGCCAGTATTCGTAGGATCCAGATCCGGTGGAGCTGTTGCTTTGGTGATTGATTCGCCGGCTGCCAGTGTTCACTGGAGGTGGAGGTAATGGCCGGTTTGAAATGCCCGGGTGATAGAACATATCCGGTGGCTCGCCCGGCATTACTGCTGAAGGGCCATTGAGTGTCGAACCGGACATGGCAGATGCGCTATCCATTAGTGTGACCTCATCGCCCTCGTCGTAGCTCCGCCGCCGTGCGCTAGGCTCTTCCAG